ACACTGCTAGATGAATAAATACATAGATTAGACTGATAGATGAATAAATAAATTAAATTGATAGAACAGATAGATAAATTAGATTGATAGATTAGACAGATAGATAGATAGATAGATAAATGAATAGATAGATTAGATAGATGAATTGATTTAGATAGATAGATTACACTGCTAGATGAATAAATAGGTAAATGAATAGATGATTAAACTGATAGAACAGATAGATTAAAGAGATAGATTAGATTGATAGATTAGACTGACTGATAGATAGATAGATAGATAGATGAATAGATAGATTAGATAGAGAGATGAATTGATTTAGATAGATAGATTACACTGCTAGATGAATAAATAGGTAAATTAGACTGATAGATGAATAGATGGATTAAACTGATAGAACAGATAGATTAAAGAGATAGATTAGATTGATAGATTAGACTGACTGATAGATAGATAGATAGATAGATAGATAGATAGATGAATAGATAGGGTAGATAGATGAATTGATTTAGATAGATAGATTACACTGCTAGATGAATAAATAGGTAAATGAATAGATGATTAAACTGATAGAACAGATAGATTAAAGAGATAGATTAGATTGATAGACTGACTGATAGATAGATAGATAGATAGATGAATAGATAGATTAGATAGAGAGATGAATTGATTTAGATAGATAGATTACACTGCTAGATGAATAAATAGGTAAATTAGACTGATAGATGAATAGATGGATTAAACTGATAGAACAGATAGATTAAAGAGATAGATTAGATTGATAGATTAGACTGACTGATAGATAGATAGATAGATAGATAGATAGATAGATAGATAGATGAATAGATAGGGTAGATAGATGAATTGATTTAGATAGATAGATTACACTGCTAGATGAATAAATAGGTAAATGAATAGATGATTAAACTGATAGAACAGATAGATTAAAGAGATAGATTAGATTGATAGATTAGATTGATAGATTAACAGATAGATAGATAGATTAATAGATTAATAGAAAGATTAGATAGATAGATAGATAGATAGATAGATGAATTGATTTAAATAGATAGATTACACTGCTAGATGAATAAATACATAGATTAGACTGATAGATAGAAAGATTAAATAGATAGAACAGATAGATAGATTAGATTCATAGATTAGACTGATAGATGAAGAGATAGATAGATAGATGAATAGATAGATTAGATAGAGAGATGAATTGATTTAGATAGATAGATTACACTGCTAGATGAATAAATAGGTAAATGAATAGATGGTTAAACTGATAGAACAGATAGATTAAAGAGATAGATTAGATTGATAGATTAGACTGACTGACTGACTGACTGACTGACTGACTGACTGACTGACAGATAGATAGATGAATAGATAGGGTAGATAGATGAATTGAATAGATAGATTACACTGCTAGATGAATAAATACATAGATTAGACTGATAGATGAATAGATAGATTAAATTGATAGAACAGATAGGTAAATTAGATTGATAGATTAGACAGATAGATAGATAGATAGATAAATGAATAGATAGATTAGATAGATGAATTGATTTAGATAGATAGATTACACTGCTAGATGAATAAATAGGTAAATGAATAGATGATTAAACTGATAGAACAGATAGATTAAAGAGATAGATTAGATTGATAGACTGACTGATAGATAGATAGATAGATAGATGAATAGATAGATTAGATAGAGAGATGAATTGATTTAGATAGATAGATTACACTGCTAGATGAATAAATAGGTAAATTAGACTGATAGATGAATAGATGGATTAAACTGATAGAACAGATAGATTAAAGAGATAGATTAGATTGATAGATTAGACTGACTGATAGATAGATAGATAGATAGATAGATAGATAGATAGATAGATGAATAGATAGGGTAGATAGATGAATTGATTTAGATAGATAGATTACACTGCTAGATGAATAAATAGGTAAATGAATAGATGATTAAACTGATAGAACAGATAGATTAAAGAGATAGATTAGATTGATAGATTAGATTGATAGATTAACAGATAGATAGATAGATTAATAGATTAATAGAAAGATTAGATAGATAGATAGATAGATAGATAGATGAATTGATTTAAATAGATAGATTACACTGCTAGATGAATAAATACATAGATTAGACTGATAGATAGAAAGATTAAATAGATAGAACAGATAGATAGATTAGATTCATAGATTAGACTGATAGATGAAGAGATAGATAGATAGATGAATAGATAGATTAGATAGAGAGATGAATTGATTTAGATAGATAGATTACACTGCTAGATGAATAAATAGGTAAATGAATAGATGGTTAAACTGATAGAACAGATAGATTAAAGAGATAGATTAGATTGATAGATTAGACTGACTGACTGACTGACTGACTGACTGACTGACTGACTGACTGACAGATAGATAGATAGATGAATAGATAGGGTAGATAGATGAATTGATTTAGATAGATTACACTGCTAGATGAATAAATAGGTAAATTAGACTGATAGATGAATAGATGGATTAAACTGATAGAACAGATAGATTAAAGAGAGACTGATAGATTAGACGGATAGATGAACAGATAGATAGATAGATCAATTGATTTAAATAGATAGATTACACTGCTAGATGAATAAATACATAGATTAGACTGATAGATAGAAAGATTAAATAGATAGATAGGATAGGTAGATTAGACTGGTAGATGAATAGATGGATAGATAGATAGATAGATAGATAGATAGATAGATAGATAGATAGGATAGAAGAATAGATAGACTAAATAGATTGGATAGATTATTACTGATAGATTAAATAGATAGATTTAATAGGTAGATTAGACAGACAGGTAGATTAGATAGATAGATTAGACTGATAGATGAAAAGATAGATAGATAGATAGATAGATAGATAGATAGATAGATAGATAGATGAATTGATTTAAATAGATAGATTACACCACTAGATGAATAAATAGGTAGATTAGACTGATAGGTGAATAGATTAAATTGATAGAACAGATAGATTAAAGAGATATTGATAGATTAGACTGATAGATAAAGAGATAGATAGATAAATAGATGAATAGATAGATTAGATAGATAGATGAATTGATTTAGATAGATAGATTACACTGCTAGATGAATAGATAGATAGATAGATAGATGAATAGATAGATTAGATAGATAGATGAATTGATTTAGATAGATAGATTACACTGCTAGATGAATAAATAGATAGATAGATAGATAGATAGATAGATGAATAGATAGATTAGATAGATAGATGAATTGATTTAGATAGATAGATTACACTGCTAGATGAATAAATAGGTAGATTAGACTGATAGAGAGATGAATAGATGGATTAAACTGATAGAACGGATAGATTAAAGAGATGGATTGATAGATGGATTGATAGATCAGTCTAGATAGATGAATTGATTTAGATAGATTACACTGCTAGATGAATATTAGACTGATAGATGAATAGATGGATGAATAATATAAATTAGACTGATAGATGAATAGATGGATTAAACTGATAGAAAAGATAGATTAAAGAGATAGATTAGACTGATAGATTAACAGATAGATACATGAATAGATTAGATAGATAGATGAATTTATTTAAATAGATTACACTGCTAGATGAATAAATAGGTAGATTAGACTGATATAGATGGGTAGATGGATGGATGGATGGATGGATGGATGGATAGATAGATAGATAGATAGATAGATAGATAGATAGATAGACTAAATAGATAGGTTGGATAGATTATTACTGATAGATCAAATAGATAAATTGGATAGGTAGATTAGACAGACAGGTAGATTAGATAGATAGATTAGACTGATAGAAAAGAAGGGTAGAGAAGGAAGGAAGGAGAGAAGGAGGGAGAGAAAGAAGCAGGGAAGGAGAGAAGGAAAGAAAGAAATAGAGAAGGAAGGAGAGAGGAAAGGAAAGAAAGAAAGGTAGAGAAGGAAGGAAGGAGAGAAGGAGGGAGAGAATGAAATAAGTGAAAGAGGGAAGGAAGGAGAGAAGGAAGAAAGAAAGCGGGAAGGGAAGGAAAGAGACAAGGAAGGATGGAACCAAAGAGCAAAGGAAAGCGAGAAAAGAAACAGAGAAAGAAGAAAGAAGAAGGGAAAGAAAAAGAGGGAGGAAGGAAAAAGGGAGGAAAGGAGAGAAAGAGGAAAGAAAGGAAGGAGGGAAGGAAGGAGAGAAGGAAGGAAAGAGGGTAGAGAAGGAAGGAAGAGAGAAGGAAAGAAAGAGGGAAGAAGAGAAAGAAAGAAGGGTAGAGAAGGAAGGAGAGAAGGAGGGAAAGAAGGGGAGAAGGAAGGAAGAAGGAAGGAGAGAAAGAAGGAAGGAGAGAAGGAAAGAAGGATAGAGAAGGAAGGAAGGACAGAAGGAGGGAAAGAAGGGTAGAGAAGGAAGGAAGGAGAGAAGGAGGGAAAGAAGGAGAAGGAAAGAAAGAAAGAAGGGTAGAGAAGGAAGGAAGGAGAGAAGGAGGGAGAGAAAGAGGGAAAGAAGGAGGGAAGGAGAGAAAGAAGGAAAGAAAGAAGGAGAAGGAAGGAAGGAAGGAGAGAAGGAGGGAAAGAAGGAGAGAAAGAAGGAAGGGTAGAGAAGGAAGGAAGGAGGGAAAGGAGAGAATGAAGGGGAAGGAGGGAAAGAAAGAGGGAAGGAGAGAAAGAAAGAAGGGTAGAGAAGGCAGGAAGGAGAGAAGGAGGGAGAGAAAGAGGGAAAGAAGGAGGGAAGGAGAGAAAGAAGGCAAGAAAGAAATGTAGAGAAGGAAGGAAGGAGAGAAGGAGGGAAAGAAGGAGAGAAAGAAGGAAGGGTAGAGAAGGAAGGAAGGAGGGAAAGGAGAGAATGAAGGGGAAAAAGGTAGAGAAGGAAGGAACGAGAGAAGGAGGGAAAGAAAGAGGGAAAGAGAGAGCGAAAGAAGGGTAGAGAAGGGATGATGATGATGAGGAGGAGGAGGAGGAGGATGATGATGATGATGGTTTTCTTGCAGGGCGGGCCCTATCTCAGGCAAGAAGGGCGATGCCATGTGTGGGGCCCGGGTCCCCCTCTTGCTCCTGCTCCTGCTCGTGCCCCGATTGTCCCGCGCACCCGTTCCCTCTGACTGCCAGGTCTCTTCTCCAGGGTGGGCTTCCTGTCGGGGCCGGAACCTACTCCGGGTTCCTCCAGACCTCCCGGAAACACTGGAAGCCTTGGACTTGTCCTACAACAAGATCCGGCGCGTCTCCGCCGGGGATTTCGCAGCCCTGACTCGCCTCAAAAGCCTCGATTTGCGCTACAACGACCTCTCGTACATCGACGACACCGCCTTCGCGTCCAACTTGTTGTTGGAGCAGTTGGACCTCTTCAACAACTCGTTGTTGACGATCCCGTCGGATGCGTTGAAGGACCTCAAGAACCTGAAGGTGTTGTCCATGTCTAACAACTTGTATCCCCGCTCGGCCTTGGACGGCGTCTTCAGCGGCTTGGCGAACCTGGAGGAGCTTTCCATGGGGGGTCCGGCCATCTCGACGGTCGGCGGCGAGGATTTCCGAGCATTGGCGGACATCCCGTTGAAGAAGTTTGCGCTGAAGACCGCCTCGAGCTTGGCAGAGTACCAACCGGGAGCCTTCGCTACGCTGACGACGGAGTCCTTGTGGTGCGACATCGCATTGGACAGCAACCCCAACGCCTTGCCCCGAATGCTGAGAGATTTGTGGGGGAAACCTTTGCGCTACTTGCGCTTTCGCAACCTCTTCGAGTTCACCTATTACACCCAGCTGGCGGACATCTTTTCCAACTTGCCGGCCGTCGGCGCCCGCGAGCTGGTCTTCTTCCGAGGAAAATTCAACGAGAACTTGCTCCGTTTGGTCCTACTCAACGTCCAGAAATCCACAATCTGGGACCTCTCCTTCATCGCCATTGATTTCGCTCGGTCGCCGCAATGGGCAAAGCCGGACGTGGGCATCACTAACTTGACCTTAAGAAGCTTAGTGCTGAAGGACATCAGCAACCCGGACATTTTGCGCTTCGATTGGACCTTCACGTGGTTCGCTGGCGTGAGCTATTTGTCCATACTCAACGTCAACTTCAACTTCGTCCCGTGCGACGCCTGGAAGGAGATGCGCAACGTCGTCATGCTCAACATCTCCAACAACCGGCTGCTCGACGAGTACATCTACAATGAGGGATGCTCCTACGAGGTCATCTTACCCAAATTGGAAGAGTTCAACGTGAGCTACAACCGATTGATCCGCCTCCGAACGGTGTCCAGATTGACCGCCGCTTGGCCGCGTTTATCCGTCTTGGATTTGAGACACAACCAAATCGGCAACGACAACGGTGGTAGCTCGCCGTGCCGTTGGAGCCCCGCGCTTGTTTGGCTGAGTCTAGCCTACAACGCGGTGACGACGATGGAAATATTCCGGTGTTTGCCCGTCACGTTGCGCTTCCTCGACCTCTCCCACTCGCAACTCGAGCGGCTCGAAATGAGTTATTTCGAAGCCGCCGTCGACCTCCGAGAACTTCTTTTGAGCGGCAACAAGCTCAAGTTCATCCCGACGGCGTGGAAAGGTCCGAGTTTGGAAGTCCTGGCGGTGGACGGCAACTCCTTCGGGGCCATCGGGCGAGGGTCGTTCGCCAACATGCCTCGTTTGGCGCAACTCCACGCCGGCAACAATCCCTATCATTGTGAATGTGAATTGCACAGTTTCCTCCGGGAGGCTCTATCGAAGGGGAAGCTGACCATAACGGACTGGCCGGAGGGCTGGACGTGTTACCACCCCGAACACCTCCTGGACACGCCGGTGGCGGATTATGCCCCATGGGCCACCGAGTGTGACGTCACGCTTGTGGTGGCCATCGCCGTCTCGCTCACGGCCGCCATTGTGGGGGCCGTCACATTACTATGCTGGCGCTTCGACGTCCCGTGGTACCTGCGGGCCACGTTCCGCATCGTCCGGTCCAAGTATCGTTCCGGCCACCCGTCCAGTCAGCCTTCGCGCAACTTCACTTACCACGCCTTCATCTCCTACAGCTGCTCGGACGCTGACTGGGTGAGGAAAGAGCTGCTGGTGAGGCTGGAGGCCACCCGGCCACCTTACCGGATCTGTGTCCACGAGCGGGACTTCACTCCTGGCCGCTGGGTCATCGACAACATTGTCGATAGCATTGAGCGCAGCCGCAAGGTGGTCTTCGTCCTGTCCCGCAGCTTCGTGGACAGCGACTGGTGCAACTACGAACTCTACTTTGCTCACCAGCGGGCCGTGGGGCTGGGTTTCGAGGACGTGGTGCTGGTGGTCAAGGAGGCCGTCGACCCCCGCGCCCTGCCCCGCAAGTTCTGCAAGCTGCGCAAGCTACTCAGCGCCAAGACCTATCTGGAGTGGCCGGCTGAACCTGGGCGACAGGTCTTCTTCTGGGCACAGCTGGCCGCCGTCCTGGGGAAGGCCGAGAAAAACGTCCACGAGCCAGAGGAAAAGGCCACGACTGGAGACACAGGGGTCAGCCAGCACCTCGAGATGCCGCCTGTGGACGAAGGGAGTGCCACGGTGGACGCTCCACCCACTTAAGCCAGTCTTAACTTAGGCTTAATTACTGTTACTTACTTACTTTGGTCCTCTTTGCAGATTCAATTACATTGCTCATTGGGGCTTTCCAATGCTAAGCACTGCATTCTGGGAAATGTAGTTGAGGGCAGGTCCTTTTGCATTCTCTGCCACAGGATCACAGATTTATACTACTACTTACTTTAGTCCTCTTTGCAGATTCACTTATTTTATGTATTATTATTACACTGCTCATTGGGGCTTTCCAATGCTAAGCACTGCATTCTGGGAAATGTAGTTGAGGGCAGGGCCTTTTGCATTCTCTGCCACAGGAGGCACAGATTTATACTATTACTTACTTTAGTCCTCTTTGCAGATTCACTTATTTTATGTATTATTATTAAACTGCTCATTGGGGCTTTCCGATGCTGACCACTGCATTATGGGAAATGTAGTTGAGGGCAGGGCCTTTTGCGTTCTCTGCCACAGGAGGCACAGATTTATACTATTACTTACTTACTTTACTCCTCTTTGCAGATTCAATCATTTTATGTATTATTATTAGACTGGTGCTGCTCATTGGGGCTTTCCGATGCTGAGCACTGCATTCTGGGAAATGTAGTTGAGGGCAGGTCCTTTTGCATTCTCTGCCACAGGTCCACAGATTTATACTATTACTTACTTTAGTCCTTTTTGCAGATTCACTTATTTTATGTATTATTATTAAACTGCTCATTGGGGCTTTCTGATGCTGAACATTGCATTCTGGGAAATGTAGTTGAGGGCAGGTCCTTTTGCATGCTCTGCAACAGGTTCACAGATTTATACAATTACTTACTTTAGTCCTCTTTTCAGATTCAATCATTTTATGTATTATTATTAGACTGGTGCTGCTCATCGGGGCTTTTCGATGCTGAGCACTGCATTCTGGGAAATGTAGTTGAGGGCAGGGCTTTTTGCATTCTCTGCCACAGGGTCACAGATTTATACTATTACTTATTTTAGTCCTCTTTGCAGATTCAATAATGTTATGTATTATTAGTAGACTGACGGCTGGTGCTTCTCATTGGGGCTTTCCTATGTTGAGCACTGCATTCTGGGAAATGTAGTTGAGGGCAGGTATTTTGCATTCTCTACCACAGGGTCACAAATTTATACTATTACTTACTTTAGTCCTCTTTGCAGATTCAATCACTTTATGTATTGTTATTGACTGACGGCTGGTGCTGCTCATTGGGGCTTTCCAATGGTGGGCATTGCATTCTGGGAAATGTAGTTGAGGACAGGGCCTTTTGCATGCTCTGCCACAGGGTCACAAATTTATACTATTACTTACTTTAGTCTCCTTTGCAGATTCAATCATTTTATGTATTACTATTAGGCTGACAGTTGGTGCTGCTCGGTGGGGCTTTCCAATGCTGAGCACTGCATTCTGGGAAATGTAGTTGAGGGCAGGGCCTTTTGCATTCTCTGCCACAGGAGGCACAGATTTACACTATTACTTACTTTAGTCCTCTTTGCAGATTCACTTATTTTATGTATTATTATTAAACTGCTCATTGGGGCTTTCCGATGCTGAACACTGCATTCTGGGAAATGTAGTTGAGGGCAGGGCCTTTTGCATTCTTTGCTACAGGAGGCACAGATTTATACTATTGCTTACTTACTTTAGTCCTCTTTGCAGATTCAATTATTTTATGTATTATTACTGGACTAACGGCTGGTGCTGCTCATTGGGGCTTTCAGATGCTGAGCACTGCATTCTGGGAAATGTAGTTGAGGGCAAGTCCTTTTGCATTCTCTGCCACAGGAGGCACAGATTTATACTATTACTTACTTACTTTAGTCCTCTTTGCAGATTCAATTATTTTATGTATTATTATTGGACTGACGCCTGGTGCTGCTCATTGGGGCTTTCCAATGATGAGCAATGCATTCTGGGAAATGTAGTTGAGGGCAGGGCCTTTTGCATTCTCTGCCACAGGGTCACGGATTTATACTATTACTTACTTTAGTCCTCTTTGCAGATTCACTTATTTTATGTATTATTATTACACTGCTCATTGGGGATTTCCAATGCTAAGTACCGCATTCTGGGAAATGTAGTTGAGGGCAGGGACCTTTGCATTCTCTCCCACAGGAGGCACAGATTTATACTATTACTTACTTACTTTAGTCCTCTTTGCAGATTCAATTATTTTATGTATTATTATTAAACTGCTCATTGGGGCTTTCCGATGCTGAACATTGCATTCTGGGAAATGTAGTTGAGGGCAGGGCCTTTTGCATGCTCTGCCACAGGGTCACAGATTTATACTATTACTTATTCTAGTCTTTTTTGCAGATTCAATCATTTTATGTATTGTTATTAGACTGACGGCTGGTGCTTCTCATTGGGGCTTTCCGATGCTGAGCACTGCATTCTGGGAAATGTAGTTGAGGGCAGGGCTTTTTGCATTCTCTGCCACAGGTTCATGGATTTATACTATTGCTTACTTACTTTAGTCCCCTTTGCAGATTCAATAATTTTATGTATTATTAGTAGACTGACGGCTGGTGCTTCTCATTGGGGCTTTCCGATGATGGGCATTGCATTCTGGGAAATGTAGTTGAGGGCAGGGCCTCTTGCATTCTTTGCTACAGGAGGCACAGATTTATACTGTTACTTACTTACTTTAGTCTTCTTTGCAGATTCAATCATTTTATGCATTATTATTAGACTGACAGCTGGTGCTTCTCATTGGGGCTTTCCGATGCTAAGCATTGCATTCTGGGAAATGTAGTTGAGGGCAGGTCCTCAACTACGTTTCCCAGATTGCTGTGTTCTCAGTCTCCCGACCATTTACTTTTCTAGTAGCCCTCATTATGGACTCATAACATTGAAGCCAAAAGTCCAGTACCGGCACACGGCCACAAGGGGGCGCTCTTGCACAACAGGAATAATAATTCTTCCTCTTCTTCTTCCTCTTCTTCTTCCTCTTCTTCTTCCTCTTCTTCTTCCTCTTCTTTTTCTTCTTATTCCTCTTCATCATCTTTTTCTTCTCTTTCTCTTTTCTTTCTCGACTTCCTCTTCTTTGTTTTTTCCTCTTCTTCCTCTTCCTTCTCTTCTTTCTCCTCTTTCTCTTCATCCTCTTCTTTTTCTCTTTTTCTTCTTTCTCTTCTTCTTTTCGTCTTCTTCCTTCTCTTCCTCTGCTTCTTTCCTTTTCTTCTTTTCCTTTTCTTCCTTTTGACCTCCTCTTCTTCTCTTCTTCTTCTTTCTCTTTCTCTTCCTTTTCTTTGTTTTCTTCCTCTTCTTGTTATTGTCTTCTTCCTTCTCTTCCTCTTCTTCCTCGTCCTTTTCCTTCTCTTCCTCTTCTTTGTTTTCTTCTTTTTGTCTTCTTCCTTCTCTTCCTCTTCTTCCTCTTCTTTTCCTTCTCTTCCTCTTCTTTGTTTTCTTCTTTTTGTCTTCTTCCTTCTCTTCCTCTTCCTCTTTCCTCTTCTTCTTTTTCATTTTCTTCCTTTTAATCGCCTTTTCTTTCTTCTCTTCTCCTCCTCCTCCTCTTCTTTTTCTTTGTCTTCTTTCTTTTATTTTTCCTCCTCTTCTTCTTCTTCATTGTTTTCTTTCTCTTCTTCATCCTACTTTCTCTTCTTTCTCTTCTTTTTTATTTTTCCTCTTCTTTCTCTTCTTCTTTTTGTCTTCTTTTCCTCTTCTTCTTTGTCTTCTTTCTTCTTTTTTGCTTTTCTTCTTCTTCTTTCTCCTCATTTTCGTCTTCTTGTTTGTCTTCTCCCTTTTCCTTATCCTTCTTCTCCTCTTTCTCTTCCTCTTTGTCTTCCTTTTTTCCTCCTCCTCTTCTTCATTGTTTTCTTTGTCTTCTTCCTCCTCTTCTACTTTCTCTTCTTTCTCTTCTTTTATTTTTCCTCTCTTCCTCTTTTTCTTCATTTTCTTTCTCCTCTTCTTCCTCTTCTTGTTTGTCTTCTCCCTTTTCCTTCTTTTCCTCTTCCTCTTTTTCTTTGTCTTCGTTTTCTTTTTCTTCTTCTCTTCTTTCTCTTCTTCTTATGTTTCTTCTTTTTGTCTTCTTCTCTTCCTCTTTTTCTTTGTTTTCTTTCCTCTTTTTGCTCTTCCTCCTCCTCTTTCTCCCCTTCTTCCTCTTCTTGTTTGTCTTCTCCCTTTCCCTTCTTTTCCTCTTTTTCTTTGTCTTCTTTTTCTCCTTCTCCTTCTTCTTCCATTTCTGCCAATAGTGTTATCTCCACGTTGGACTCTTAGGGCTAACGAGCCCCAAATCTATTTTTGCATCCTTTTTTCTTTTCTTTCTTTTGCAAATTCAATTCCCTAATTGACGGTTCCACTTACGGCCGCTTCGCGGAAACCTGTAATTTGCCATTTTTGTGGCCGCCGAGGGACGAAAGCCAGAAAGTGTTTTGGTCCAAACGCACGCCAAGGTCGCCGTTGGGTTCCTCCCCATGGCTTCGGACGATTGCAGACGAGCCAGGAACGCGATGCTGCAGCAGAGAAGGCGAAGACGATTGCAAGCCTGGATTCATATCAAGAAGATTTCCAAGTCGAGAAGTAAACATCATAGTCATCGTCATAATATTGCATTCAGCACTGCTCCAAAGTACATCTGAAGTAAATAAGAGCCCTATTTTCTCTATTATTATTATATTATTATTACTACTACTACTACTACTATTACTACTTTGTATGTTTAAAACTCCAGCCTGTAACTTCGAACTCTGTGCATGGTCAGAGGCTGTCGAATACAGAATTATTGCCACTTTGAAGTCCATACTTTCTCAATAATAATAATAATAATAATATATTATTATTATTATTATTATTATTAATATATTATTATTATTATTATTAATAATAATAATAATAATAATAATATTAAATTGTATGTTTAAGACTCCAGCCTGTAACTTCGAACTCTGTGCATGGTCAGAGGCCGTCGAATACAGAATTATTGCCACTTTGAAGTCCATACTTTCTCAATAATAATAATAATAATAATAATAATAATAATAATAATATATTATTATTATTATTATTATTAATATATTATTATTATTATTATTAATAATAATAATAATAATATTAAATTGTATGTTTAAGACTCCAGCCTGTAACTTCGAACTCTGTGCATGCTCAGAGGCCGTCGAATACAGAATTATTGCCACTTTGAAGTCCATACTTTCTCAATAATAATAATAATAATAATAATAATAATAATATATTATTATTATTATTATTATTATTATTAATATATTATTATTATTATTAATAATAATAATAATAATAATAATAATAATAAATTGTATGTTTAAGACTCCAGCCTGTAACTTCGAACTCTGTGCATGGTCAGAGGCTGTCGAATACAGAATTATTGCCACTTTGAAGTCCATACTTTCTCAATAATAATAATAATAATAATATATTATTATTATTATTATTATTATTAATATATTATTATTATTATTATTAATAATAATAATAATAATAAATTGTATGTTTAAGACTCCAGCCTGTAACTTCGAACTCTGTGCATGGTCAGAGGCTGTCGAATACAGA